AAGAGCTGAAGTTTTGGAGATGCTCTGACCCAGTCATCTAGCCATCACAATTTGGCCCTCGTCAAACTCGCTCAAATCCTTACGCTTGCCCATTTTTCCTGTTTCTAACACATCAACTTTGAGGACAAAATGTTCACTTGCTGCCGAATATATCCCACCCACTAACAGGTGCCGTGATGAAGAGATAAGCAGTGTTATTCACTTCACCTATCAGTGAATGTTATGCCTGATCAGTGTGTGTGTGTGGATGTGTGTGTGTGTGTGTGTGTGTGTGTGTGTGAGTGAGTGTTTTTTGTGTGTGTGTGAGTGTGTGTGTGTGCTGCAGGTAACAAGGCAGACTAGCACAAATGCAATAACTGAGACTAAACAATGTTTTATTTTTAAGTGCAACACTTTTTAATATTTCTAAATGTTTTCTTCTCTCATCTGGTCACTTTTCCTCTGTTTTCTGTCTCTTCTGCTGAAGTTGAAGGCCAGAGAGAGCGACAGATGAAAGGAGGCATGAGAGAGAGAGAGAGAGAGTGCGGCTCTGTTTGTGTCTCACAGCAGACGTAACACTATTAATATGAGTCTGTTTTGTGTCAGGAGCTTTAATTTCATCTGTGAAAGACACACACACACTCATCTGTCACTGTAACTTCATTATACGCTGACGAGGGGCCGGAGACACACACACACACACACACACACTCTCTTCAAACAATATTAGATATGAAACAATATTTAAGCTTCTAGTAAATATTTTTAATAAAACAATACTCCGTCGTGTCCAGAACATGAGGCCGCTGTGATGTCAATATTTACTCTGATTTGTCAGAGGGATTTTAAATAATTGATTAATTTATTACAAGGCCAGGGTTAGTGGCTAGACTAGTTTGTAAGGAGTAGTTATTCTACAGCTGATTAGCTTATTTCTGTTTGATAACGTCTGTAATATCAAAAACTGCTGAGCTTACTTTAGAAAAAGATGCTTCATATTATTTGTGTGCAGATCATTTAGTTCAGTTATAAATGATTGACTATAGTAAGTTTCAATCAAATTTTTTCAATGTAATTTTTTTTTCTGAAAGAAATTAATACTTTTTTTCATCAAGGACGCATTAAATTGATCTAAAGTGACAGTAAAGACATTTGTAATGTTATAAAAGATTTCTATTTCAAATGAATGTTGTTCTTTTGAACTTTCTATTCATCTGTGAATCCTGAAAAATAAAATGTATCACAAAAATATTGTGCAGCACAACTGTTTTCAAACATTGATAATAATCAGAAATGTTTATTGAGCAGCAAATCAGCATATTAGAATGATTTCTGAAGATCATGTGACACTGAAGACTGGAGTAATGATGCTGAAAATACAGCTGCGCATCACAGAAATAAATTACAGTTTAACAGATATTCACATAGAAAACAGCTGTTTGAAATTGTTATAATATTTCACAATTTTACAGTTTTTACTGTATTTTTTATTCAATAAATGATTATATTATAATCAAAATGTTATCACTTTCTCACGTAACTTCTTGAGCTCTTTGTGTTTTCAAGGAATAATATGCTCTTTGACTGACAGCTGTCAATCAGATCTGACTGAAAACAGAAATGCAGAATTTTTAATCTTCGGTCTCGTCTCAAACTGCACCGGCTCCAGTAGATCAGACCGGTTCTGAGCGGAACCAGACTTTGAGTTTAGTGTGGTCTGCTGGTTCTGGGTCTCTCTCTGAACAGACAGACAGACTGTGCTCTGTTTTCACTCTAATCTAAACTAGCGAAGCTCGGTTATCTGTCATGCTAATGAGGCACATTAAACTGAAATTGCCTGGAAGACGTGTTACTGCTCAGAGGTTTCTCTTTCAGTTCTCAGTTGTGTTTTTATTGCTCAAGTGTTTTGCTTTAAATTCTTTAGGAAAAATGAGAACAGACTCAAATGCCGTTCAGTAAAAATATAGAGCTATAAAAATAGAAATATCTGAGATCTCTGAATTCTGGTCTTGCTAAATCTGAGCACAGTTTGAGATATTGCTGAGATCTCTTCTAGAACTCTATACGCTAAAAAAAAATGGTGTAGAAATTATTTTTACTCTGAAATTATTTGTGGTATTTGCTAGCAATTTCTAAGAAATGGCAAGTAACACATTGAATTGAACACGAAGTTTTGAAGAGGAAAAAACTGAAATAGTATTTTCTTGTAAAACATATTCAAATAATCAGTTTTATTTACAACTTTGAATTATTTTATTTTATTTATTTATTTATTTTTGTTACATTGTATCTAGAGGCACGTGAAATTACTAGGGTGTATTTTTGACTAGAAGATGGAGAATTTGGCACACGTCTCTATTTGTTTTCATTGCTGTTTAGGAGAAACATTTGAGATATTATTTTTCCTATGGGTGGGTGGGAAATATGGTGCTTTTACTTCATGTTAATGTGTCCAAGTTTGGTTTAAATATGAGTCAGTTCAAACCTTAAATGAGATCTTTTCATATTTCTCTTTTTCATCACTCCTCCCCCAATTCATCCGTCTTCACCAAGATGGAGCTGCAATTTCTCTGTGTGTGTGTGTGTGCATGCGTGCGTGCGTGTGTGTGTGTGTGTGTGTGTGTGTGTGTGTGTGTGCATGCGTGCGTGCGCG